CAGTGCAGCTTCTTGCCACTAGGCCACCAGAGCTCCCCCCAGATATTATTTTTTTAAGAATATACAGGCCCACTGTTCCTTACAGATTGTTTCATACATATGTGCACATTTGCAATTGATTAATAAGTCATTTTTCCATTATGGCTACTAATTGATTAGGTATATTGAGGATACTTTTGTCATATTTTCTAAATTGTTTTCACATTTATGAGATAATAATTTTTGCATTGTCAAATCTTTATCCTCTGGGTTTGAGGTGTGTGCTTGTATATATGTGTGTATGACACTCTGGTGGCCTAGTGTTAAAAGAGCTGCACTGTGAGCCCAAAGGCACTTGGTTTGAATCTACCAGCTCCTCCATAGGAGAGAGATGAGCAATCAATTCCTGTGAAATTTACTGCCTCTGAAATGCCACTGGAGGGACAGCTCTGAGTGGGTCCTGACTCAGAGGTACACAACAAATACATAAAAGTGCGGTTCAAATCCACCAGATGCTCTGCTGCAGAAAGAGGGATAAGCTCCTGTACCAGTCAGATCTGACTTGACGGTACAAACACAAAAATAATTTAAAAAAAGAAAGGAAATGAAACAAAACCAAATCTATAAAAATGTGGCTATTTGGTGTCATTGAGTAAACTATGACTCACAGTGGCCCTCTGAACAATCTTGTTAAGTCTTAAACTGGCCTGCACCACTCTCACAATCTAGATTGTGGTAATCACTGTGTCAATTCCTCTCTTTGGCTAACCCTCCCTCTTTACCTCCACATCTCTTTATAAAATATAAATTATGTATATACACACGCACATGACACAGAATGCAAGGAGAGCCCACAGAGAAGCAAGAATGCAGAAAGCAAAAACCTATATGAACAGAGGTAGGCGGTTCAAATCCACCAGATGCTCTGCTGGAAAAGGAGGGACAATCTCTTCCTGTACCAGTCAGATCTGATTTGACAGCACACACACACAAAAATAATTTAATAAAAAAAAACCCCAACAAAACCCAAAACAAAAACCTGCATGAACAGGGGGCAGTGCAGCAGAGGTGTTAGGTGTGGGACCTTCTAATAGCATTCGCCTGGCTGTTGTGTGTTGTCAGCCACTGAATCATGTGAACGCCACGCACAACAGGATGAAAAGCTGTGTACCACCATCCTACCCATGATCAACTGCAGATCAAACGGCTGTGGTCCATAAGGCTTTCACTGACTGATCTCCAGCAGTAGAACACCAGACCTTTCTTCCTAGTCTGTCTTGGTCTAGAATACCCACTGAAATCTGTTCCAGATCAGAGCAAAAGGCAAGCCTCCACGGGCCGAGGTGTGGTGGCTGTGCTAACGGTGCACTGGCCAGGGAGCCGACCCAGGTCACCTGCATGGGAGGTGAGCACAAACTACCACATCCTCCTGGAAGGTCTCCAAGCTGTGGATAAAATGGCTATAACACAGTGTTGTCAAGATAGCTGCTTTGATAACAATTGTATACCATAAGATTTGGAGCCTGATGTATGAATGGCTGAATGGAAAATAAATCTATTAACTCCCTCAAACCTCTCCACATCCCTACACCACACAAAGATACAGGAGCCTGCAAGGTCACCTAGTTAAGACGTTAGCTGGTCATAAATAAATAACTTAATTAATATTGCTTTAAATGAACTCTTGACCCAAGCAGCCGGCTGAAATCCCACAACAGTCAACTCAAACAGGCATGTCTCGTAACTGGACATGGGCAATTTCCCTGAGCTAATGTGTCATGTCAGCCCTTTTGTTTCTTGGAATGAGGCATATGGCCAAAGAGGGAGAAGAAAACTCTCATAAAAACTTTATTCCTGAAAGGTGTGCCACAAGGAACACTCCATCCAGGGAGAAATGTAGTAAGATTTGTAGTGACCAGTGTGAACAAAGACAAACCTGAGACTTCCCCAAAATGGGGGTGGGACACATACAAACATATGAAGAGCTTTAGAGTACTACTGTCAAAACTACTGAAGCACAGGCTGTTGAAAAACAATGACCTGCCTTTGTTTTCAGTATGGGGATGATTTCCACCAAGTCTTCCAGTGGTTGCTTCCAGATCCAGGTAGGAGACACTTTCACTTCACCTGAGCTTGAGGAGAGTGATGTCCTTCTACAGCTTAGTTCAGTTATCTCAGTGAAGTGAACTTGGGAGAGGGGTCTGATATTTGCTTTTTATAGAGTTAGTCAGATTGTGGTGTCAGAAAACTTCAAAATTGGCTTTCTATTAATTCCATTAGCCACTGTTAGAAGCATGGTCTACAGCTACCTTAACTGCAGACACATGATTTTGCAAAACATCAACAGCTGTGGGACCAATAGAAAAGAGTGCTTTCCACACTGTGAGAGACAGTGGTGGAGAGTGAAGAGATTGTGGCACTGCTGTGAAGTAGTAAGTAGCAAGGAATAACAAGAGGAACCTTGGAATAGTCAACAGTTTTGCTTACTGGATGACTCACTGAGAAGTTGAGTTGTAAGTGCTCTGAGATAAAGTCTGCTGGATGACTGTGGAAACCAGAGATTTATCTGTGCTGCTGAACAGAACCCAGACGTTTTCATTTGTTGACTGAGATGCTGTCGGCACTAATTGAGGAACAGTGCTTTGTTAATCTGGTTTAGGACTGCTGGGCTAAACCTGGACATGGTGTGATATTCTTTGCCTCCCCTTCACTCCCCCCACCTAATTCCCTAAGAAACCCCATAACTGTGAGAAAAGTCTATGAATCCATTTGCAATGAACATTGGACCCAATGATGCATAGAAATATGTGCAGGAGCATATAAGGTGCTGTGTCTGACCATGTCGCTATTTATTTAGTAGTACGGGTATTACTGGTGGAGAGAGTTCTCCTATAGAAGCTGGTAGAAGTCAGACTCTGCCTTCCCCGTGTTACCACTGCTCCTAACATACATATCAAAACCATACAAAAAACCTCTCAGGGAGCTCTGGTGGCCTAGTGGCAAGAAGCTGCACTGCAATTTCAGAGGTAAGCGGTTTGAATCCGCCAGATGCTCTCCTGGAGAAGGAGGGGCCATCTCCTCCTGTATCAGTCAGATCCACTTTGACGGTACACACACACAAAAATGAAATTAAATAAATAAATAAACAAACAAAAACCCCTGATCGCTGAAACTGAGGAGGACCTGAAGCGCCTGCAGCAGAAGGTCAAGGACTGCAGTCTTCAATATGGATTGAAGTTCAATATCAAGAAAACAAAGATTCTCACCACTGGGCCAATTGGCAGCATCAGTATGGATGGTGAAGAGATTGAGATACTTAACAGTTTTAGTTTGCTTGGCTCCACAGTCAACACTCTTGGTAACAGCAGCCAGGAAATCAGGAGATGAATTGCATTGGGAAATTCAGCTGTGAGGGACCTCTCAAGAGTATTGAAGTGCAATGACGTCAGGCTGGAGAATAAGGTGCACCTGATCCAGGGTATATAGTCTTTGCAATTAAGTGCTATGCATCGGAGAGTTGGACAGTGAATAGGGATGATAGAAAGAGAACTGATGCCTTTGAGTTGTGGTGCTGGAGATGAGTGTTGACTATACCATGGACTGCTAGGAGAACAAACGGATTTGTCCTGGAGAGGGTGAAGCCAGAATGTTCCCTGGAGTCAAGGATTCTGAAGCTTCGTCTGACATACTTTGAGCATGTGCAAGGAGGGACTGGTCCTTGGAAAGGGACATCATGTTTGGGAGAGTGGAGGGGCGGCGCAGGAGAGGAAGACCCTCAATGAAATGGATCAATTCTGTGAGTGGTGGGAATGAATGTGTTTGAGACAGCGAGATTGGCACAGGATAGAACGGCGTTTAGCACTCTTGTACATAGGGTCGCTATGAGTTGCAAACGACTTGATGGCTCATAACAACAACAACAAACAAAAAACCTCTTGAAGGGAGCTATGGTGTCCTAGTGGTGAGGAACTGTACCAGCATCTAAAAGGTACGTTGTTAGAATGCACCCACTACTCTGAAGGAAAACGATGGGTAAGATTTACAGCCTCTGAAAACCTGCTGGAGGGTCAGTTATGAATCAGTTCCTAACTCATAGCAACAACAACAAGATCCTGAGAACTGTAAAGAGATTATAGTGATTCTCCCCAAATACAGCAACATGCCGCTCATGAGAGTACAGAGAAATCTAAACTCATACAATGCTGATGAGAGTGTACAATGGTGCTACCACTATGGAAGATGGTTTCATTCTTCCTCAGGAAGTTGAGAATAGAAAAAACCTATCTGATCCAGCAATAGCACTGCTAGGTATGTACCCCCTAAAACAGAAAAATGGAAGCACAAACAGATAGCTGTACACCCATGTCCATTACAGTGTCATCCACAACAGCTAAAAGATGCAAACAGCCAAATGCCATCAATGCACAAAGGCGACTGCAGGACATTTACACAACAATGTTGTATCAGGCAACACTGAATAATGACAAAGAATGTGTGAAACACTACACAACATGGATAAAGCTAGAGGAAATCATGTTGAATGACATAAGTCAGTCACAAAAGGGCAATTATGGTCTAAGACCACAATTTAAATATAGAAAATAACAAAGAAAAGGTTTATACACAGACACAATCATTCTTTGAAGGTTACCAAAAATAGGAAAGGGGGGGGCTACCAGGGATAGGAAGGAGGGACAGGAGAGTAAACATTAATAGATTGTTAGGTGAGAGAAAGGGCAATACACAAAAAAAGGCTGATCAGACATTTTTACTAATTATACCAATTGTAATTTATATTATAAAATAAAATATGCATGAATGACTAAATGAAAAGCCAGTATGATTTGTAAACTTTCATTCAAACAAAGAAATTTTTTCTAAAAAAAAAAAAGTCACACAAAACTTACCAAAATAAAAATGCCAAACCAGGCGACTTTGAGTTGATGCCAAATCATGGTGACCCCCAAGTGTGTCAGATCCCAAGTGTGCGCCCCAGCTTCCCCAAAGCTATTATCCTTTAGAAGTCGATTGCCAGGCCTTTCTGCCAAGGTGTCTCCAGGTGGATTTGAACCGGAAGCCTTTTGGTTTAGGTTTATAGTCAAGTAAGTAACTGTTTCCACCATCCAGAGACTCCACCAAGCTTTCCTGTACAGCAAAAGGAGGAAAATGACCTTTCCTCTAGATTTCTCTGATTCAACATTTTTAATTCATTCCATAAACACGAACCTCCCTTTCTCTTTCTCTTCGGTGGTTGGGGGAGCTGGCTGGTGTCTTGCCATTTTCCATCAATGGAGACACAAAAGCTAGACTGTGAAAGAACAGGAAGAAACCTCACCTGGCGTCTCCACCCTGCGGTAGTGGTAGGGGTTAATGCACACCTCCTTCTGCTTGGAGCCAAAGGGAAATTCACAACACTCCAGTGGCTTCAGCTCGTGATGTGACTGGAGGTCCGGCCAGCGCCACACTCGGCAATAGATGACATGGGGCAGACCCTTGCGGTGGGACACCTGCAGCCGCCCATCCAGTGACCGGGGAATTGTGACGCACTTGCTGGGCTGCCCTGGACAGCTGAGGGCCTTCTCCAGCTCGTCCATGGCTCCCTTCTTCTTCTTCAGCTTCTTCACTAGAGAGTCGACAGCCTTCTCTGCCCACTTCTCCTCTTCATCTCCTTGTTTCCAGCCAAGCAGCCTCTTCACTGCCGGGCTGGTGAAGGAGAAGAGGGAGCTGATCGGGGTGCTGGAGTGCATAAGAGGTGCACTTAAGGCAGCCAGTGTCAACAGGAACCCCAGAGACCACCCTCAGGGCCCACAGGGCCTGGGGGACAGAACCAGCGAGAAAGCCTTCAGCAATGTCATAGGTACGAAGCTTCCATTCCTCCAGAAGCAAACGGTCGTTCAAGTTGGACGTGTGCTGACTGTCTCCTAAGTCCTTGAACAGTGGCAACTCTGGTGGGGGGAAGAAAAACCAACATACAATTAGCTCAATCTGGGTGGTGCTCAGAAGCCTACGGTCCCTTATAAAGAAGGAAACGTCCTTCAAGTATTTTAGACCTGGAAACTTGCAGTCATCTTTAACTCACCCCTCTCCTTTGTTCATCATGGCCAAGTTTTGGCAATTCTGTCTTCAGAGTCTCTTTCCGATTTTTTCCCCTTTATCTCCACCAACATCGGAGGTTACAGCAACATCTCTCGGGCATTTCCCCCTTTTTACCACTCACCTGCAACACCTCTCAAATAGCTTTCCTCTTTCTCCTTGTTTCCAATTCTCATCCACTTACTACCAAATAGTTTTCACCAAGTCACTTATAAAAAAGAAAGAAATGACAGTTGTGCAAGAAGCTGCACTGCAGTCCCAGAGGCACACGGTTCAAATCCACCAGATGCTCTGCCGGGGAAGGAGGGACAATCTCCTCCTGTACCAGTCAGATCTGATTTGATGGTACACACAAATAGTAAAATAAAATAAAAAATAAATAAAAAAGAAAGAAATGACAGTTGTTCCTGGCAGCCAGGCAGCCTGAGGATAAACTTAGTTCAATTTCCAGGGCTGTCATAATTTCCCTTCAACCTGCCCTTTGTTCTCTTTCTAATTAAGAGTTCATAAATATATTCATCATTACAGTAGATACTATATATAAGTGAAAAATAATGATTAGTAACAATCTCACCACTCAAGGAAGGCTATTCTTAATGTATATTCCTATCCCAGCAACAATAGCAAAGTTCAACAGAGCAGCAAACAACAAATGCTGGCGAGGTTGTGGAGAGACTAGAACCCTTATTAATTGCTAGTGAGATTGTAAAATGGTGTGACAACTATGGAAGGGGGGGTGGTGCTTTCTATTCACAACAGCAAAGAGAGGGAAGAAATCCAAGTGCTCATCAATAATGGATTGAAAAATTATGTTATATTCATACAATGGAATGCTGTGCAGCACTGAAAAACAAGGAACTCATAAAACATTACCCAACACGGTCACCCTGGAGGACATTATGCTGAATGAAATATCTCAGTCACAAACGGACAAATACTGCATAACACCACTGTTATAAAACAAGACAGACATATAGGGTTAAGGGGGTAACTAGGAAGAGAGGCTATATAATGAACACTGCATTCACTGGAACAGATGAAGGTTGTTGTTGTTGTTGTTGTTGTGTTTTTGTTATGTGCCGTCGAGCCGTTTGCGACTCATAGTGACCCTATGTACAACAGCCCTAAACCCTGCTCTATCCTGTGCCAGTCGCACTGCCTCTGACACACCCATCCCGATTACCCCAGTCACCGAATCAATCCATCTCATAGAGGGCCTTCCCCTCCTGCGCTGTCCCTCCACCCTACCAAGGATGATGTCCCTCTCCAAGGACTGGTTCCTCCTTACAACACGCCCAAAGTATGTCAGACGAAGCCCCATTATCCTTGCCTCCAAGGAGTAGCCTGGTTTAACCCTCTCCAGGATGAAGAACTGTTAAAAAGGAATATATGATTAGGCATTATTTGTATGACAACAGTTCAGAATAAGAGGTGCATTGCAAAATGAACTGGATGAAGGTTGGGGGGGAAGAGGGAGGCAATTGTGTAACAATGAATGATTATTTTTTTTTTAAGTAAACTGGGAATGGGGAGAGAGGAAAATGTGCAACAATGAATGAATGAAAATCCAACTTTTCTGCAAACTTTTATTAAAATTACCATTAAAAAAATATATACATCTTCCTGGAAAGTGATTGTCAAGGTGTTGTCCAAAGGCCCCTTTCAGTGACATACCTCTACCTCCAAAAATTAGCCAAGGAAAACCTTGTGGCTCACAACAGAATGCTGTCTTTTTGGCTTTGGACATATCATCAGAAGGGCTCAATTACAGGAAGAGAATAAGTATCAGTGGATGGAGTAGAGGGCCAGCAAGGGCCTGAGACCCTTACAAAGTAGAAGTGGCAGAAAAACCACACAGACTCACACATAGCAGGGACTGTGAGGATGACATCGGACCAAGCCGTGCTGTGCAGTTGGATAAGGTGATTTATGATTCAGAGTTAAATGAAATGACACCTACTGGTCTCTTAGACTTTTAAAAAGGTCTCGATTCGGATTTCTAAGACAGAAAAGAGTGATGGATAGACCTTGCATAGGGAAAAACTCTTAAGGGGTTCTCAGTAAAGTTTAAAAGTGTAAACTGCTCAGGACCCTAAAAAAGCTTGACAACTGCTCTCCTAGATCAGACCGCAGACACGGTAACACAGCTGCCAGTGTGTCAGTTAAAACTCTGTTATTTTTCCTGAAAATCAGCTGTATTCTACTCAAAAGGGGCATTCTCTTCCAGATTTTCACCTCAAAAATTCAAGCTCATAGCCGTGGGGCTGGAATGGGCTCAGAGCTGATCCTCTGTTGGGTTTTAGAGGCTCTGAATCCCACAGGGCGAGACTGCTCCTCTTTCTCCGTCGGAGCAGCTGAGAGACTTGACCTCCAGCAGTCTCGTCTCAGTTTCCTCACGACGAGCTGCCCTGTGTCTTCTGTAAAGCTGTTAGGTGCTTGAGGGCCCTGACCTGTCACATGAACAGAGAGAAACCCTGCCCAGTTCTGCTCTATCCTCACAGCCACGACTCTGTTCGAGCTCATCCCTGTAGACACTGCAGGCAATCCTCTCATGCAGACTCATCCCTTCACGGACCCTCTGCTTTTTCCAAGCACGATACCCTTTCCCATGAACTGGATCCTCCTAACACGTTCAAAGTACCTAAGATGAAGTTTCACCGGTCTTGCCTGCAACGAGCATCCTGCCTGAGAAAATCTATTCTTTCCATATTATAGAAACCATATGCCTCATCACATTTATTTATTTTCTTTTTCTTGTTGTGCACCATCCAATCAGATCAGAGATGGTCCCTCCTTCTCCAGCAGAGCATCTGGAGGATTTGAATCATGTGCTTCTGGGATTGCAGTGCAGCTTCTCTGCCACTAGGCCACCAGAGCTCCCCTGCTGAAGTATCTGAATATCTGAGAATCAACCAAGCTCATAATCTTAAGAGTTGCTAGCTTCACACACATTAAATGTCATCTTCTCCTCTGCTCCCCTTGAGGGAAAGCTGTACCATTGGGAGTCCAATTATATAAACTTCTAACAAGTCAAACTCATCACCAGAGTTTGTTGTGACTGAGAGCGTAAATCAAAACAGGAGACTAGCCATATTCTTCTGAGGGGCCACTGATGGGTTCAAATGACCAGGGATGTGAAACCTTTGGGTTAGTAAGACAACACTACCAGAATGCTCCTCTTTAAACAAAGGGGCGCGGGGGAGCTCTGGTGGCCTAGTGGCAAGAAGCTGCACTGCAATCCTAGAGGCTCACGGTTCAAATCCACCAGATGCTCTGCCGGGGGAGGAGGCACAATCTCCTCCTGTACCAGTCAGATCTGATTTGCCGGTACACACACACACACAAATAATAAAATAAAAATAAAAATTAAAAAAACAACAACAACAAAGGGGCGCTAAAGATCTCTGACACTGTCATTGTCATCAGGTACCTTCTGTGAGGAAGATGTAACCTGGTTACACACAAACTGAAGACATAAAGTACAAAGCAAATCACTGTAGCCCTCATATGGGCTTTACTTAGCACTCTGGTGGCCTAGTGGTAAGAAGCTGCACTGCAAGACCGAAGGCACATGGTTCAAATCCACCAGCTGATCTGCAGGAAAAGGCTGGGCAATCTCGTCTCATGCAATTGACTGCTGGACGGTCAGGTATGGGTCAGTTCCAACTCAACAGTACACAAGAACAGTACAGAGGAAAAGTCAGATGACTGACAGAGGTGCAGGCTTGAGAGCTGCTCTTTTTCAGGAATCTCTTTTAGACTCATTTTTAACTGGAAAGGCTGAGTTTCGGCTTAACAATCATGAATTGATAAAGTACAGTTAAGTTCTTGTGCCCAAGCTCTCCTTATTCAATCTAGACAGGCTACCTTAAGGCATTGTTGAAGAGGGTTTGTGGGAGTGGAGAAGTGGCACGACACAGAACCAAAAAGAAGTTTTGCTTTCTGCTAAGTTTTTCTATGGAATTTGTTATTAACAAACTGTAGCATAAATCTTTATGCTGAGGTCAGTCATAAAAAAGGTTTAGCAGAATTAAATTGAACATACCTTTAAGAAACTGTTATTTGTCCATGAAACAAACAGCAGTTCTCTAAATATAGATTAGAAGTCCTGGTCTTGCATCATTAACTTAGGCTGCTAGAGGTTGGCTGCTGGGATTCACCAGCTGCTCATGGGGCGGGGGGGGAAATGGGTATCTCCCCTCATAAAAATTTACAGTCCCCAAAAAGTGATAGTCACTAAAAATCAGACTCAACCCTATGGCAGTGACCTTGGCCTTTGCTTGGTAAAAAAAGACACTTTTTCTCCAAACTGTGAGTTCCTTCTACTAAGGCATAATGGCTTCGGAAAACAATTTATTCGGCCAAAACAGTTTTTGTAAAAACAAACGATTATCACAGAGCAGCCAACATGGAGAAAATAAGTGTAATTCTGCAACAGGCAAGAAGGCAATAGTGAACTCATATTTCTTTAATTATGTCTTACAAGGGTGAAATGTCCCTTCTGAGTAGAAGGGTAATGCACTGGACTCCTTTCTGGGCTGGAGTCATTATCTGCTTAGCCTGGAGGGACAATTTTGAGGAAAACCTCCTTATCAAATTTAAGTCCTTAACTGGTACAGTCAGTCTCTCCACCCTGCAATCAACTGCCTACCATCACTCCTTTCCATTAACATAGTAAGACCTTCTGACCCT